TAAATTACATGTATAAAATGTGAAAAACGCACAAATATAATAAATATTCATTTAATATTATTGTTGGACTCATGATTAAGTTTTTTACATTTTCTACTTTAAAATTCTAAATTAGGACATTTTGAAAATAGTTCAATTTAAAGTTTCTGGGACTGAAAAAAATCTATGTTGTGTTTTTCTAAATGACCATTACTATTTTCCTCAGAATACTTTCCCTTAAAATGATTGATAAAGCAAAATTTCCAATCTTAATGCCATATATTTCAACAAAATGTTTCTACTAGGATCCAATAATAAAGTATGTATAAATTCATATTTATACTTAAAATTTCATATTCAGAAATATACAGAAACAGAATAAAAGTTGTAAATATTTGACAGCTTAAATTGGGACCAATACTTGTACTTATGCTTATTTAATTTAACAAAGCACATCTTTGCATTACATTTACCAATATGGAGTATCTACAATATAGAAAGACACTATTAATTACATTTTAGACTTGCCTTTTTTCCCATTAATAGGTGGGCTTGGTGTTTCTCCCTCATTGTCTTTATAACATTAAAAACAGACAATAGTGATTAATAATTAAGGTCATTAACAACCTAACAAAAACTTAGCACACCACAAAGATAACATCACATACTAGGGAAAGAAATCCATGCACTAAACATAATACCTTATAGTAATGAACAGAAGAGTACAGTACATTCTTATATAAAAAAGTATTAAGAGAAAACATAAAATGAGGAATAGTTATTTTTTATAATAAACTAGGAAGATTATAGTCGTGCTTTCATGATAATCCAAGAATTGATATAATTTACTAATTAAGTCTATTTTAAGAATGAAACATAAGTCACAAACTGGTTTAACAAACGGGCTTCTTTATCTTAATGAAATTAAAGTGATAACTATTGCTGAATTCTTCAAATTAATAATATCTTAAAAAAGATTTCTTTACTGTGGAGGCCAATTCATGAGCAGTGTAAATGCCTTTCAGGATTTGTATGCAATAGTACAGATGTATAGCAAAGCAATAGGAAAACATTTACTGCACAACTTAATTAAAATGAAATTCATTCTTACAGCATTCCATCAAAATATAATTCATTTCTATAACATTCCATGAAAAGAGAAGATGTGTGACATTTTAGCAGTCATAATACTAGATACCCAGAAAAGAGGTAGTTAAACATTTCTATAAATATGCAACTAAACTTGCCTTTGTTTCCATTATCAGGTATATTCTTATGATCGTCTTATCTTTATGACATTAAAAATAATTGCTGATAATTAGCAACCATAATTTAAGATATCTTCAGTCTTAAACTACGAACACCAATGAAAGAATGCATCCATGAAAATACGTCTCATGCACAATATACATAATGGTATTGCATTCATACAATGGTGAAAGAGAACAAAAGGCACAAAAAGTGCACTCTAGTATTCATGAATAAAAAATAATGATCGGTTAAACACTTGATAAAGTTAGATTTAAAATTATTCTGCATTGTTCAAAGAAAGATAAAAGCTGACAGCTTAGATTAGGATTCAATTCTAAGTTTCAAATAAAAATAGTAAATATGTGATCATATATTTAGTTTTAAAATACTTTCAGGAACATCCTGACAGAAACTGGCAAAAATTGTGACATATAAACGTAATAGAAATTTTAAAAACATCAAAAAATGAAGGCTTTTCATACCATTTAGGAGGAGGACTCTTTGGGGAGAAATTATGGCCATCTAAAGTGTAAGAGCAAGACTGAACTTGGATGAAGAAAAGGAACTTAGAGTTAACTGCTCTTATTTTAGGAAAAATATTTACTGGGAAAAATTATGATAGTCTCTAAAATTATAATGGAACTTACATTTACATTTTGCTTTATATTCACTTGTAATTTGCCTCTTTTAGATTCAAAATCCTTGACAGAAGGGAGTAACACTTCAACAAACCTTTATTCAGTGTAACACATGATAACATTTTTTAAAAAAAAATAGGTACTCAATAAACATTTTGAATGAATAAATAAATGGACTGAACGTAAAGCTGGCATAAATGATAGGTATAACTCTTGATCAGGGGCACAATCTATAATTTTAGTTTAAGTATTAAGGAAAATGTTCAACCAGTTGGATAAATTAAATATTCTAGACAGTTTATGTAATATCTCATCATTAACAAAATTAGACACTTTATTTTAAAATTAGTACTGAAAAAATTCTGTTCTTTATTGCATAGTTACAAACTTGGAGTCCAAAACCTTATTTTAAATTGAAAATTCATACTTCTAACACATTCACATATTTATGTTATACACACAGACAGACCTGCCTTGACCTCTTCACCCTGTTTTTCTCCCCCCTGCTCTTCCACATGCCCAGTTTCTTCATTAAATTCTGTATTTGCATGAGTAAAAGTAAAGAAAAAAATGTGACCATATACCTATGTATACTTGTTATAGTTAACTGAAGCTAAACAAACAAACTTACAAATTATTCATAATAATGCAATGCATGATTATAAAGAGACTGTAAGGTTGCTATGAGTCAGAAATGACTCGATGGCAATGGGTTTAATAGATTTTATTTTTAATGGATTTCTGATTTGTATTATACTGAAAATAAGTATACTGTTAATAAATTATCATACTACTTTTACAATGATTTGATTGGTAAAAGAGAAACTGTGACCCATAAAATACTTGAGATATGTGGATAACTGTGAAACTAGGCAAAATACTTTGTTAATAAACTTGGTATGTTCTTAGAAAAATAATGTTGATATGAGTTCTCTTCTAGAGAAACAAAAAAAAAAAGATTTTAAAAACCTTGTTTCACTTCTACAAAACAAAAGTACATCAAATTTAGAGGAAAATAAAATAATAATGCCTAGTTTTGTATACTGTACTTTCATTATATTGCTCTTATTTATTTGGCTCTAAGACAAAGAGAAGATGACTAAATATGTACCACAGTGAAGACCAACATATATAAGGTTTTTAATTAATTGTACAAATTAAATATAACATAGTTCACTCAAATCATAAAAAGTTAAATTAGGACGTGTTCATTTTTAGCCATTGAAGAAGATTAGAAAATAGACGTTTCAGTACTTTGATTATAAAATAATGCCATTCATTAAATTACAACTTGTGACAATTAACTTTTTAAGAGATAAGTCAACATAATTTGACTTAGTCAACTGAAAGTCTATTTAGGGTTACTGTATCTTTACCCTCAGCTAGAAGTTAAAGAGTTCTAAAATAAGATATTACATATTGCCTTTTAAATCTAAAGAAAATTACACAACTATGTAAATCCCGAAGTTTCCATATCAACATTTATGGAAACAATGTTAAAAAATATCCACACTTTTAGACAAAACAAACAAACAATCAAAAATGCTTTTATTTAATACTGTAAAGGATAACAGAGCTTTTGGTTCCCCTCTATTTCATGAAGGAAAAAATGTAAAAATTATAATTGGGAATCCTAAAGGAATAGTGATTTTAACTGATTCTATAAGAAAAAACAAAAAGCAGACAGTAAATAGAATGTTTCTTGACAAGCCCATTAGAAACTTCATCACCCTGACTTGGGTATCAGTTTTCTGGTACATTTATGATTATAAAGAAGGGAGCTACTCATATCTTAAAAGACTATAGATACAAAAGATACTAAAATTATAAAAAATTAAATTGTGATATTAACTTGTTTCTGACTTTATCAATAATTCCAATAAATGATACTGAAATACTACCTTTAAAAATTTAGGAAGATTAAAAAATTCCATACATACCACAGGACTTTCCTTATGAAAAGCAGCTTTAAAATTATATACTCTCATCCTTATGGAAATAATTGAGAATCATAAAAATGCTGCTGAAATTTTTCAAGGAGCAGCATAATAGACCACTAGTCACAACAGCACTGGGTTATTCAAAATCATGGTACACAGTAAGTAGAAAAAGGCACAAAAAAGAAGTTTATAATCACTCAACTACAACGAATGAGAACACAACTTACTCCAGTAAGTTATAGAAAGCAATACAAGTATTGTTGCTCAAATGCAATATACTACAAATTAGTTAAAAACAGGTTATAAAAATATAAAATTTAGCATAAACATATATACGATGACAAAATTATTTTTGATGGCACTTTATAAACTACTTGAAGTATCTTTTTAGTTTTTAAATCAGTATTTCATGCATTCATTCAACAAACATTTATTAAGGGCCTACTATATGCTGGGCATTATTCTATGCGCTGGAGATTCATCAGTAATAAAAAACAGAAGAATTTAAAAATTCTTTAAAGCAGTAAAATAAATTTCAGAATTCTATAAGTAGCAGAGAATTTTTTGTCCTAGTCAATGTATCACACCCCATATCTCATAACTCAATATTTTCTCTTGAGTTATAGTGTAGTATTTGATAATAAAACTATATCACATTTAACTCTGAAACACTATAAGCAATCTTTCTACAACATGAAAAATGATGTAGAAATACAAACCACAATCACTGTCTAATTCAACAACTGTCTTTTCTAGAAAGCCAAACTTAATAATGAAAAGATCATCATAAAGACAAAATGAAATATATATGATAAATGTAACTAGACTATGTGTACAACCTCAATGACATAAACACAGACTGCAATTGATATCTTCGGTTAAAGTCTTAATCAAAATCTAGAGTTCTGTGTAAAAGGCAAATTAAATTTTTAAAAAGCAAATTTTATGTTTGCATTTATAAGAAGTTAAACCTTTTGCATTCTTATTTGACTGAATCAAAGAAATTTTACTCCTTTGTATAATTTCCAAGAAAAACAAAAGTTGAGTACTAAAAATCATAAACTAAAATAATTTTATTGTATATAAAAGTCTATGCAATTAAGGGACATCAATTGCAGTTGGGTTTATTTTTGCTTACATAGCCCCCCAAAAAGGCTGTCAGCACAAAACAAACCCTCCTTTATGTACAGACCTTCATAAGATTCTATCTCCTTGACTCCATTGTCTAGGAAAAACAAAATAAAAACAAAACAAAAAAGGGAACCAAAGCACAGGGGTTAAAAACAACAGAAATTTTCAAACGCACAGACTGTATTGTCTATTAAAAAAACTTAAATGGTAACTTAAAAATATTTTTTCTTTTTTGCAAAGCACATCCAGTTACTAAATAAAGGAATTATTTAAAAAATGATGTTGAAAAATTATTATATTCAATTATTATCCATGCTTTTGAAGTCCTTTATACAATAATTTATAAATCCAGAGAGTATGTTCATATGTGTGTATGAAAATAGTGCCTCTTATGCCAAAATTTTAAAGTATTAAAAATATCAGTACAACATGCATCTTTTTTTTTGGTATATTCATGATTACCTTTTTCTGGTACTCCAGTTTTGAGAAGGATCACCATTGTTGTGCATCAGCTAACCAGTCCTTTGCAGTGTGTGAAAATTGATTTGGCTAGTTACTAATAAACTTTATGTAACTGTCAACAATTACATAAACTTAGTTGTAGCAATGAAATATCATCCAACTGCTTATTTAAGAGCATTGTTTAAGTTTATTTTTTAAAATGAATTTATTCAAATTTGAAAAATGTTAAATAGCAACAGAAATAAAGACAGCTTATCTTTCCTTCAAATATTACAAATTTTAAATGCAAAATATATATTTATAAATATAACTACAATCAAATAGAGGTAAAATACAGAAAGAAAAATAACACAAAGGTAGTAAAAAATAAAGTCTTGATTCACCTTAGCCTCCGTGTGTATTTCCTATATGACATAATTTGAAATAAAACTTACTTCTCTCCAATGTTCCCTTTGGTGGAAGCTGTGGAAGCTGTCGGCCCCTTCGTCCTGCTACTGGAGTACTTGATGGGCTTGTTTGGACAGACCCAGTACGAGGATGAGACCTACAAGATACACCATTAATATTCATTTTCAGTAGAATGAGTTAAATATTTTTAATACATTTGGCTCACATGATAGCTGTATAAGTGCAATTTTAAAAGTGGTTTAGCTGCTGAGTAAAAGGTTAAGAAAGTAGGACAAAAAAATGATATTTGAATGATTATCTAAACAGCAAAAGATGTTTATATTTTTGTGTAATATGCACACATTCACACATACATGCACACAAAAGCCTACAGTAAAATCCATGGAATTGTTAATGTAAATTAATATTCAATCCATATGAAAGCAAGCGGAGAATTCTGCAGCTCAAAAAATAAAAGGCAACATTTTACATTTCTTTCTAACGGACAGCAAAATTTCTAACTTTCCTCCTCTGATCCAAAGAGATTTTTACTCAGGCTCATATTAAATATCCTTGTATTAGAAAATATCTCATGTAACTACAAATAAAACTCAACATTTCAAAATTCAGCTAAAGAGGATGTTAATACATGATATTAGCAGTGATAGGAAGAAACTAAAAATCTACTTTCATTTATTGTCATTATGATGAACATTCCAAAAGTGATGTCTGATGGACACAAACAATTTCTCATTCTGTAGGAGAAGAACATGATAGTTATGAGGTGTATTATGTGGGGATTTACCCAGTACTCCTGATAAATGAGAAATCACAAAACAAATGTAGTCAGAACGGTTAATAAACAAACTACAATGATAGCCACACACTATTATATCCACTGAATATAAATAGTGTGCTTACATTTAGAGGGTTAGTATTGATTGTTATCAGTGATCAGCCACGGATGATAGAAGAGACCATTAGCTGCTGGGAAAATAAAATGGTGTGCTGGTGGGGCAAAGGGGAAGTTAGTCTGATTGATTTATCTTTCACCTCGATAAGGCAGGTGAAGGAGGGGCAGATCTTCCAGTCATTAATGAAGGCATCGACCTCATGAGGTTTGTATCAGGACGTTCAGTGGATCTGGAGCGGGTGGTGGTCCGCTCTAGGAGAGGCCGTTGTTCTGTTGATCTGGATCTGTGATATGGCTGTCTATCTGCTGCTTCACAATCCCTGAAATGTTAGTCAAAAAGCAGCTCAGTTGATCTTTAGTGCCCTTCTGCTATTTGGTTATGATGCATCAAACTGATTTTGAAAAAGGTAACTGTTTAAAATTATTGAGTATGTAAAGAATTTTCTTTCCTCCAACATATTCTGAGCAATTCTCACTAAACTTCTTAAGAATTTCTAAGGAACCAAAATCTGCTTTTAATAGCAATTCCCAACTAAGATAATAGGAGTTGCTCAGTATAATCAATGACAAAATAAAACTGACCATTTTCCAAGATGAATTTCCTAACTGGAACAAGTGAAATACAGGAAGCATTAGTTTAAAGAATTTCATTCCCTAACATTTTCAAAGGAGTGAAGAAAACCACATAAGCATTAATTCTTAAGGTCCTAAGTTTTAGTGTACCACCTATATATGAAAAGGCTTTCAGTATAATCATAGTAGGATAAATGACACCCAAAAATTCAAATGGAAAAATCAAAATGAGGTTATAAGAAAACAGAGCAACTCTGAAGTCTATAGTCTTACTAAACATGGCCCACAATAAAAATCACTGTGTAAAACCCTGGTTATCAGTCAATCCACATCATCTATCTCAGTACACTCTACCTATGCCAAATAATACAATTCAGAATGGGTCTTAATTGATTGAAATAATAATTGTTCTGAAACAATGTGATCTCTATGACCACAAATAAGTCCAATGCTAAAACTTAATCCTTGCTGAAAGAAATATACTTAATTTTAAGTAACCTATCATTAATTTTTGTATCCCTGGAGTCTAGCATAATGCTTTACTTATAACATGTGATCAATAAATGCTTTCTAACAATAGCTCCACATCTGTCACACAACTCTTAAAACACTAGCTCTGATGCAAGAACTCAAAAGTAATACGAACTCCAAAGTATATATCAAAACGAACTATTATTATACCCCCTCTAGTTCCCATAAAGATTACGGCCTAGGAAACCTGATGGGACAGTTCTACTCTGTCCTACAGGATACCTATGAGAGGGAGTCTACTCGATGCCACATAACAGCTGTAACCACAGAAATGGAAAGGCTTATATATTATGGACAGCAAAGCAAGCATTAGCCTCCCTCAAGACTAATGTGTCAAAGACTTTCCACTTTACCTATAAATTCTCTCTATCTTATTTTGATAATGACAAATACAGACAATTTTAAAAAATGAGGAGAAAAAACATGATTTCCCAAATTTCATGAATTATGTGGCATACATTTTTGGACCAGTAGAGATTAATGACTTTAGGAAGTGAACACTGAATTTATTCTACACTGTATCTTGTGTTGACTTGACACTTTAGGTTCATAAGGTAATAACTCAAATCATCTTTAAATTTTTAAAGTCCATGTCCAATAATAAGATTGATTTCTTAAGATAATTTTAGTATTTTTAATATAGAGTTCTAGAATAGGTTTTAAAAAATAAGATTAAATAAGTACATATACAACGTTCAATTACCAAAGAGAAAAATGAAAAAGGCAATCTCATAGTGTAAAAACTCTTAATTCTATTTTTGTTTATGAAAAATTATTTTAGAAGAAACGTCCTTTGGAAATAAATATGCTCAATATTTCATTACATGTTTTTAGTGTACATGTCTTTGTATATCTTCATAACAATACATAACCAGAATCAAAGGGATATATAAATATCTCTTAAATTCCCTAAAATCCATTCTTCAAGAGTATCAACCTCTACATTTATTTTAAGGTTTCTTATTATCTTACGGCAATCATAAACATATCTCATTATATAATATATAGCAACAATAATTTGTGGAATATCCTTGATTACCCAAACATAACATTAGGCTAATATTTCATTTATTTATGCATAATTTGATTTATTCTAATTCCATCAATCAATTTATCCAAATGGAAACTGAAATGCCAGGATATACAGTTTCACTTCTTCGGCTCTATTTAAAAATCAAAATATACGATTGTGAATGAAATTGAGATAATTATTTCAAATGTGTTGCTATGCCTTATATCCTCAAAAGGATGCTATTTACTATTTATAAAACAAGTCATTCCTTAGGAACTATCCCTCACAAAAAATATTCCTTTAGTGAAAAACTTGTTTGAAGACTGTAGTATATCTTTTAAATTTTACTTAAATTTTTCTTTCCACAAATATATGAAATAAAACTATCCAAAACAGGCATTATATGATAATTTTCAGAGTGTGAGATGAAAACACATTAATAAATGAAACATGAAAAAAATTACAGTAGAAGGTAGAAATTTCCTAGAAATGTACCACCACAGTTAAGGGGAATGAAAAGCTACCATACTTAAAAATTTGTAACACATAAAAAAGATCACGATATGTTCTTTGTCCACAATTGGGTAAGAATGGGTCTGACTACGTAAGACCTAAAGTTATTGCTAAGAAAATTGAAAGTAGCAATGCCTAAATCATCCAGTCCCATAGCAGGTTTCTTTAAGGGATCAAGATACAAAACTTGAGAGCTTTAGTGAACTTTAAGATAAGAATTTATAAATAAATTTTGAATAGAAGCAACTGAGAAGTAGAAAATAATTCATAACATTTTGCAAGACATAAAATATTTTGGTGCCTACGTGGGAGTCTGTATTTCAATATAAGTACAGTCGGCCCTCCATATCTGCAGGTTCTGCAACCTGCAGATTCAACCAACCGCAGATCAAAAAATATTCGAAAAAAAAAGAAAGTTCCAAAAAGCAAAACTTGAATCTGCCGGCGCCAATTACTACGCTAAATCCATCCGAATGAAGTGATGTGTGGGCATCCCCTGCTGTAGCCTCGTGCCATTTCACAGCTCCTCAGTCTCTCTCCAGCACTTGTTTGAGCATTGCTCACCTTGCATCTTGTTTGTTTGCTACTTGGGTTGTATTCACCCTTCGTTTCTGTGAAAAAAAAAAATGGCTCCTAAAAAGCAATTAAGTGGTCAAAGCAATCCCTCAAAAGCTAAGTGTGAGACGGTTGAGGAGAGCGAGAGGAAGGAGTTTCAGGCTGGTAAAGGATGGCTGAGTAGCTCTTTAAAGCGCTACAGCCTCAAGAACATCAAGATCAGGGGAGAATTGGCATCGGCTGATGGCCAGGTAGTATCAGCGTTCCCAGAAGACCTCAAGAAACTCACAGAAGAGAAAGGCTGCCTTCCAGAGCAAGTCTTCAGTTGTGAAGAAACAACTATTTACATAGCATTTACATTGCATTAGGTATTACAAGTAATCTAGAGATGATTCAAAGTATACAGAAGGATATGTGTAGGTTATATGCAAATACTATGCCATTTTATATAAGGGACTTGAGCATCCTCGGATTTTGGTATCCTCAGGGATCCTGGAATCAATACCCCGCAGATACCGAGGGATGACTGTAGTTCCCTTTGCAACCCTGCTTATTTACATTATTTTACCTTATGCATTTAAAAACTTAACTCTGAAAAGTGTGGCTATAGTTTGTTTTGTTTTAACCAGAATGTCAAAGAACTAAGCACATAAAAGGTTAGAAACCTCTCCTTGCAAATGCAATGTTTCTTAGACACAGAATTTGGTTGTCTTCTACAAAGTGATTTAACATCTGTCATAGAGTTCTGTATCTTTGAATAAACAAAGTATATGTTTTAATATAAGTTTTAACTAGCCCAGATTTTTTGTATGTGTCTATAATCTGGATAGACCTTGACTGCTGCTTGGCTAGTGGAAGCTATTCCAAACTGCAAGCATTTGCAGAGGATGCTGTTTAATAACTCCTCCAAAAATAGAGCTAACTCATATCAACTGACAGTATTTTAACAATAGGCAGGAAAACAATATCAATCTAACTTCAAAAGCATATAGTAATAGCACATGCAGATTATGAGAGGAAGACAGGCTGACACCAGGCCACAATAATAAAGGAAACCATTTAAATGGTCTTTGAATTTAATGTCAGTGTTTACTCATAAGAAAAATTAAAACTGAAAGAGTAATATGTTTTAGTACTTCTTTTCAGTCATTTCCAAGGGGGGAAATAATCTTACAATCATTTAGTGATGTTGATATCTTAGAATCATTTTCCCTCTCATTAGCTGCTCTTAATAGGTTTTTACAATTTCCAAGTATGTGACATAGACTTCTACTTATTTCATCACCTTTGCTACCTACTTTAGGGTCCCTACTGTCAATCAGAAGGAGCCCAGCTGGCACAACAGTTAAATGCTCAGCAGCTAACCAAAAAGTTAGTGGTTCAAACCCACCCAGCGACTCCATGGGCAAAAGATGTGGCAATCTGCTCCTATAAAGATTTAAGCCTGGAAAACCCTATGGGGCAGTTCTACTCTGTCACAAGAGGGTTGCTATGAGTCAAATTGACTCAACGGCACCTAATAAGAACAACATTCTTAATCAAAGTGCATGTGATTGATGCAAGTTACCAGGGAAGAATAGGTTAGTGGGCATTTTTTTTATCCATCACAATGATAAAACTCCAGCTTAGTGTAAGCTCAATGTACAGTAGCTCTCTAGGTATGATAAAAATAATACTAAAAAAAAAAAAAAAAAAGCCACCTGTACAATGTAGTGCTTCAAAGTAATACTAGAAACAAATGAAAACTGTTCTACAATGTAACTCATAGCTTATTGTCTATATTAAATCAGACAGACTTATTTCATGTTTGTATTATAAAGATTCCATGAGTAAATTTTTAAAAAATTTTCTTGAAACCTTTTAAAAGCAAAGCTATTGGACATGATGGTGTTTCTCTATGGAACATTTCTGTTGAGTTAAATGTAAATCCTCTGTGTTGGTTAACCATAAATGAGGCCACTCAAAAATAACAATATTTAGAGTCAGCCAAGTTAGTAACAATCTAAAATGTGAAAATGGTAACAATACACATATTGATGAGAGAAAGTATGACACCATTAATGTTGAAAGACATTACTGTTACCCACAAATGTATTTTCTCATCAAAAAGAAAAGGATTCTCTTATCCAGAGAAGT